TTAATGATTATTATATCAGGAGAAATGTGTAAAAACGCAGAGAATATTGTGCAATTCCACATTGTTATTGAAGATAAACCTTATGCAATATAAAATACAAAACTTAAAAAAAACTTTAACATTTACATAATTTATAATTTACATAAGTTAAATATAGCCACATAAAAAAATTTTAAAAAATTGCTAAAAGAATGCTTTGAATAAATACTTAAAAAAAGTATTTATTCAAAGCATTCTTTTCTCTATTGTTAAGAAGATAATTAAAAAAAACTGGTAAAAAAAAGTAATTTTTCATAAAAGTTGAATAAATTGTTAAAAATGTTTTGTTGCATATTAAAACAAAACGCTTTTATTTTTTTGGTTGGCGTTTTTTTATGCACTCGCCAAAGTTTTTGTGGCCGTGTGGGGAAGCTTAAAAAAAGACTCGAGTACGAAAGCGCTGGTTACGGAGAAGTTGAGACTCTTTTTTGCCATTAAATCAAGTTTAATGGCTGCCTCTCAAACAAGCACCAATAAGTATTAGCAGTTGTAAGTTGCTTGATATTATATATCTATCTATCTATATATATATATATATATATATATATATATATATATATATATATATATATATATATATATATATATATATATATATATATATATATATATATATATATATATATATATATATATATATATATATATATATATATGTATGTATATATATATATATATATATATATATATATATATATATATATATATATATATATATATATATATATATATATTATTCTTTAGTTTCTAATAGCTTTATTTTGCCCTGAATTCTTAAAATGCTTACTATATAAAAATGTAGTCAAGTTGTCTACTTAAAAATTACTTAAAGTGTGGACAAACAAGGCATGCAACTACATACGCTTTCCAGGAAGGCCTACAATGTAATTACATTGATTTGTCAAATATCCTTTGACTTTCAAATATTATTTGATGGTTAAGCCAATAACAATGTGTCAGTGGATAAGAAATATATATTATTTCACATTAAACCCTTATAATGTTCATGATTTGTTATCTTGTTTATGTAAATTTTTTAAATGCATTATTTTAAAGTTAGAACCTTTAGGGTAGTTTCCGAATTAAATAAATTTTTTATAATTTTATGCATATTTATTTTGAAATAGGTACTTCCGAATCAACCTGTGTATGCATATTTACCTCTAAGAAGTTATGGTTTTAAATTTATAATACAAGCTGATTTTGAAGTGCCTTCTTCACGGGAAGACATTAATAAAGATAGTGCATGGAATCAATGCATATTGCAGCATATACCTAAACTAGTTGTTGAAGCTTTTCATTGTTTTAAGGTTTCATGAGGATTTTACATATATAATACATATATATATATATATATATATATATATATATATATATATATATATATATATATATATATATATATATATATATATATATATATATATAAAATAAAATTTTAGATTTTTTTAAATTTCATAACTTTTTTTGATTTTCTCTCAAGAAACATCATCACTTCACCGGTTTAGACGGTGTCATTAAGTATTTAAAGTTTATGGATCTTGAAGATCATGTCCTTGGAGTGTTTAAACAAGTTAGTCACCAAATTATAAAGTCCTTGCAGAGAGAAGCATGTTTGCCAGCTATGTCAAAAGATTGTAATGCATATCCTCAAATGCCTATTACTTGGGTAGTTCCAAGCTGCATAATCAATCCACAAGAGAACGTCTTAAAAGTTATATCTCAAGAAATGCTACAGGAAAAGCTCGGACTTTACTATCTTAATAAAGATGTTAATACTGTCATTTCAAAAAGAATGTTAATTTCTTTAGGTGTTAATGAAATGACATTGGAATTGTTATTAGAGATTTGCAGATTAATTGTCCATCAATTCAATTCTTTGCCACAAAATAAACAGGTTTAATACTTAATAATTATTTAGACTTTTATTTCTTATTTTCAATTTGTTTTTTTGTCATTTATTTATAATTATTTAATCTAAATAAATGTAATAATACTACTAAAATATTTCTTAATAATAAATTATTCTCATAGAGTTTACTATAGTGAAGTTAGTTTTTTGTAAACAAATATTTTTTAACTTAATATAAAAGTAAGAAACTTCTATACGACTATTCCACGTTTGACTTTTTTTTTTGGGAAAAACCTCAGATTTTAGCGCATTTAAAATTAAAAATTTAAAAATTAAAAATACTGAAAAATTTTCATATACATTACAGTTTCTAAAAACAAAATTATTTAGTTTTAATATTTTATAGACTTTTAGGTATATGCATTAAAAGTTTGCGTCACGATGTGACAAAAATTATCTAACATTTTTCGTCATTAGAAGAAATGACAGTAGTTTAGCTATTGTGGATATTTAAAAATATTTTTTTGTTATGTTTTGGATACTTAAAAGGTGTTATAATAGTTTCATAAAATATTTTTTAAAATATTTTATAAGTTTAAATGGAGACACTACATAAATATATTTACGGAGTTTACGTCACACCGTGATGTTACAGTGTGATCAGTACAAAATCTTTGAATATAAAGACAATAACATCATCATAAAGACAGTTGAAACAAAAGAAACCAATTTATTTGGATTTTATAAGATTGGTATAACAATGACGTTTAACAAAACATTTTATTTACAATAATTTCAAAAAAAGTCTCGTAAAATTCAACTACGTTTTTTTTTATTAAATTTAATCTAGTTAAATAAGTATGATGCACATGAATAAGGTTTCATTTCCATTTTATCATTAAACTGTTTAAAGCAATGGGTGTTAAATATTCCAAGCGTTTTACAAGCATTATTAATGATGTTTCCAAGTTTTGTGCTATCAAAAGCAGTTTTAATTTTTTCAACAGCAACCATGAAAGCATTTACTTGACTTTCATCTCTGTCGGCTTTATAAAATGCTGTTGTGTTATTATTCAGAGCTTCTCTTCGAACAATTTTTTGTGTTGCTAATCTTTTTATGGTTGCTCCTTTACCATGAGAGGTCGCAAAGTAATTCCAGCAAGTTTTAATTTTGTGCTTACTTTAAAGCCATGGAATTGAAGCAACTATGTAACAATTTTTAAATTTACTGCTAGGACCATCAGACCAAACTTGCAACTATTTTACATCCTTTCTAATAAGGTTAGTTGTTAACAAATCAATAAAATAAGTAACTGAACTTCTTGAATGGTTCAAATCATCTGAAATAATAACAGCAGATTTACAAGAGTCACCATGCCAGCTAACAGCAGTAAATAATGTTACTAATTTTTTGTTCCAATGTGCTGACTGAACTTCATCCTGCAAGAAAGTTGAAAGTTGAGAAGTCAACTTGTAACAAAACTGAATCAAGATTGCTTTTTAAAACTTTTTTTTGTTTTTCATAACTCATTGATTGTTTTCTTTATATAAAATAATGCTAAAGAAATTTGGGTAGCATTTTGCAAACATTGTTATACAAAATTATGGCTTTGTCTTTTTTTTATTGCTTTTTCGAGGTACTTAGTTCCATTAAGTTGCATAACTTTCTCCCAAGGTACCACGTAATTTCTTCATTGTGGTTTTTTTTCATCTAATTGGTATGTCTTGAGAAATAACTTTCCGTCCTTACAAGCTTCACAAAGATTATTCCAACAATTATCATTTTTCTTGTCACTCACTAAAGTATTTGGTAAAGCATGCAAATAAAGGGAAATTTTTAAATCAATGAAATGTAATGCTTTGAGTGACAAGATAATGTTTTCCTGTTTTTGACATGAACAAACATTTCTAGGCATTAAGCTTGATAAAAGTATATAGCCTGGTTTCAAACTAGCAAACTTGGATTTACTGATTAAAAAATCATTGTTTTTGTTTTTAAATATTTGATATGCTTTACTTATATTCATTGTTAAATACCTTTTTTGCATTTTCTTTTTTTTTTTATTACTTCTTAAAACAATCTTACTCCAGGTGCCTGACGGGATGTACTATTTTGTTCAAAAAAACTAATGACACAGAGCTTTGTTTATCTTTAAGAGCATTAGGTCCATGTGTTCGTTGCATATCTGGTAAATCTTTGTTAAACTGAATTGCAAGTTGTTTAACAACAGTTGCTTTTTTAAGAGAAGAAGTTGGAAGAACACATTTTGCTTTTTTAACAGCTTTACCAAGTGTACAAGATGATTTGTAAGCAGAAGAGATCTTAGATGTTATTTTAGATAAAGAAACTCTACTCTTTTTTTTTCTTAACTTGTCCTTTAAATGTGCTAATTCAACATTAGAATTTCCTTTTTCTGTATTGAGTCTTTTTCATATATAAAATCGGGACCAAATTTTTGCATTTGTCTTTCTATATACTTTCTCTGGTGTTTAGCATGTGTCAGAGGCATTTTCATTACTTTCAATAAAGAAATAAACAATTTGTTTGTGAAAGTTTACTTTTTATAAGAATTGTTTAAACAATCAACATTCAGAATAACTTCAGCAATGGCGCGACAAAATTTAAGAAAAACTAAATAACAAAGGTGTTAGTAAAATATGTCTACATATTTACAGGTGCACCTATAAGTTTAATAAAAAAAACAATGTTAATTATATTAAAGGTTTCAAAACTTATCCACAAATAAAAACAATAAAATTACTACAAATGTTAAACCAACATGTTTTTTGCATAACATTTTTATAAAAATTTACCTTTAAAAAATTTAATTTTAAAAAATGTCACGACGTATTGTCACAACGTGACATAGACTTAAGACACATAACACAAAAAATAAAAATATTTAAATTTAAATATCTATTGGTATTTATTGCCCTATTTTAGCTCTAAGTAGTTTATAAATATTTATTTAAAATAAATAAATATTCTTACGCTAGAATGAAAAATGTTACTATTAGTGTCACAGCGTGACATGTCACAGCGTGACAAACTTAAAGAAGACCAAATAGAAATTTCTTAATGAAAGACTATTTAATTATAATAAATTTTCAATTTGAAAAGCAAGAGTCCCATCTATATTTTGTGTGTGACAAATCTACATAGAAATTTTAAAAAGTCTAAAAAATTTTGTTTAAAGTTTAAGCATCAAATCGTAAAATTCTTCGAAAACCAGTTCTACATGTTACATGTTTTTAGAAACTACAAACCTGACAACTTTTAAATGATACATTTAGTTTTTTATTTTCTAGGATTTGAAGTTTATATTAAACTTTTTGTACAACGTGGAGTAGCTGCTCGTTTTCATTGTTAATTGCTTTATATTGTTTCATTTTCGTCAATGGCTTGCATCTTCTTAAATTATCTCAATTTATCTTTTTTATGTATTACATTATCAAAAAATTTAATATTTATAATATTAAATATTTCTTCATTTTTTCTTTTGAATTGGTATGTAATGTATTTGCTTTCTTTTAAATGTTGGGAAATATCTTGTGCCTAATATGTACAAAAGTTTTATATACAAAAATATATTTTGTTCAGCCATTAATCCAAACCTTAACAAGTTCATATTTATTTATTTACAAATGTTTTAACAGAATAAGTTACTCAGTACATGAACACAATTTTCCAATATTATCTTGTAATAAATAAATGTTCAAAATTACAGTTAAAGTTTAAAAGTTATAAAAATAACTAAAAATGTCTACAAACGCAAAATGCAAAGTTGATCTTTTATTTTTTAATGAAAATTTTAACACTCTTTGCATGCTTACACTCCCCATAAAATGGGTCACAACTTAAATTTCACTCTCTTTATATTACCAAATTCCATTGCATAATAGTACATATGGGAAGTAGGGGCATAACTGCCAACATAACATTTGAATTAATGTTATATGAAATAAAAACTAAATATGTCTTTTTAACAGTTTATTTCAATAACCACATCATTAAGCTATAAATTGATGCAATTAAGAAAAAACTAAAGGGTTTTTGAAAATGCTATTACACAAAAATAACTTTTAGTGAAAAAAATATTTTTGGCCCTCATCATGAAGCATAACAGCACCCTCACAATAGTTGTTGGGGGTACAATTTTCTTGGTACATTTTTTTTTTACAAATGTCACAGCTCAGATTATTTGCTGATTTTATTGCATACTGTGTGTACTTACAGTCTGAGTAAGCAGTTACTGTGTAAGCATTCTTTGTACTTACAGTCTGAGTTTTTTCTCAAAAAACTCAGACTGTAAGTTCAAAGAATTCAGTCTCAAAGCTTGCTTATTAGGTTATGTTGATATAAAAAATGGTTTTCACTTGATGAAATAATGCTGATAACATATATCTTTAACGCTAAAATCAAATATTGCTTAATCCTCAAAAAAAAGATTTGGAAAAATATGATGTAAAGATAATATTATCAAAATAAACATTATTATGCACAACTTCTCAGAAGCATAACAGGCATTCTTTTTGACATAAGCGATATGAAGAAATCTGTACTAACGCGTGGTATGTTTTTTGCCATATTATATAACGTTTTTCAAAGGGAAATGTTAAAAAACAGTTGTGCCTCCATATGTTGTTATGCCCCGACTTCCCCTATATGCTTGCTGGTTCTATTATTATGCAGCACTTGAAATTGCTGTCGAAATCATTCACTATTGTTAAAATGTGTATCTTATTTCTCTTTGTTAATAATTGTTATTTGTGCAGGTTGAGATGAAATATTCTTTTTATTTATATATATACATATATATATTATTTTATTTAAAGTTTATAATATAAAATTATTATATATATATATATATATATATATATATATATATATATATATATATATATATATTTATATATATATATATATATATATATATATATATATATATATATATATATATATATATATATATATATTTATATATATTATTGCAAGAAATCCACGTAAAAAGGTGCTTTCTGATGCTAAACTCCATTGTTCTCAGTTCACTAAATCTTGCATCTTATCGCAGAAGTTAGGCTCTAAAGACTTTTGGAAAATCTTCAACAGCATTATTAACAAGGGTAGATCTAACATTCCATCTCTCATTCATGGGACTGATCTTATTACCTCTCCCAAGGATAAGGCAGAACTATTTGCAAAGAACTTTTCTTCTAATTCCACTCTTGAATCTTATGGACAATCTCTTCCTTCCATTCCAGTCAAACAGGTTGACCCATTGTTAGACATTCAAATCACTCCGGCTTCTGTTGCTAAAGTCATATCTCAATTAAACTCGTCTACAGCTTGTGGTCCAGACAACATTCCTGTCACAGTCTTGCAGAATTGTTCTCCAGAACTTTCTTCAATTCTCTCTAAACTATTTTACAAGTGTTTGACTGAGTCTTGTTTTCCTGCTTGTTGGAAAATGTCATCTGTGGTTCTAATATTCAAAAACTCTGGAGAAAATTCTGACCCCTCCAATTATCGTCCGATCAGTCTTCTTTCTGTTATTAGCAAGGTCTTTGAGTCATTGATCAACAAATTCCCCACATCTCATCTTGAGTCAAATAAACTACTGTCAAACAATCAATACGGTTTTTGATCCTCTCGCTCTTCGGCCGACTTGCTAATTGCTGTAACTGTAAGATTTTATCGTGCATTAGATGGAAGCGGTGAGGGTAGGGCTATTGCTCTTGACATATCTAAAGCTTTCGACAAAGTTTGGCATGCTGATCTTCTCCATAAGCTTGCTTCATATGGTGTTTCTGGGAAAGTTTTTGAGATTATCAAATCATTTCTTTCTAACCGGTTTATTAAAGTCATCCTTGAAGGCCAACACTCTTCTTTATTTCCAGTAACTTCTGGGGTTCCCCAAGGTTTCATCCTGGGCCCTGTTTTGTTTCTTATCTATATAAACGATCTTCCTGACAACCTTTCATCTAAAGTAGCTCTTTACAGTGGCTTGTGAAATTTAACTCTAAAAAAAACCCAGTTGCTTACTGCAAACAACTACCGTAATATGGTCAACATTCCTATATTAATAAATGGCAATTCTCTTACTGAGTCCTCCTCTTTACGTCTTCTTGGATTATCGCTTACTACTGACCTTTCATGGAAACCATATATACAATCGATTGCTAACTTATTAGCTTCTGATTTCCTTACTTCTGATTCCATTCTCTACCTCCACAAATCTCTTATTCGTCCCTGTATGGAATACTGTTGTCATATTTGGGCTGGTTCTTCTAATGATTCACTTTCTCTTCTTGACAAGGTCCAAAAACGCATTGTAAATGTTGTTGGACCTGGACTATCTGCTAAGCTTGAACCTCTTTTCCATCGTTGTAAAGTTACATCTCTTTCTCTTTTCTACAAATACTATCATGGTCACTGCTCAAAGGAGTTATCATCTCTAGTTCCATCAACTCAAATTCATTCTCGTTTTACTTGTCATTCAGCTAAGTCTCATTCGTTTACTGTATCTGTCCCTGCATGCTCTAAAAAGTGCTCTAGTTTTTTTCCCCGCACTTCAATCCTTTGGAACTCTCTCCCATCTTCATGTTTTCCTGACTCATACAACCTTCAACTTTTCAAGTCTTCTGTCAACCGTTTCCTTGCTCTATAACTCTGTTCTTTTTTTCCCTAGTAACTCCCAACTTAATAGTGGTTGCTTGCAGCCTTGTTTGGAGTGAATGCAAATAATATATATATATATATATATATATATATATATATATATATATATATATATATATATATATATATATACATACATACATATATATATAAATTGCAGAAGAATATCTTATATCACTGCAAAGGTAACTTAGTGATGACACACCATTGGAGATCATTTTTTGTTAAACTTAAATCTGCTATGTTGCAATAAAATCATTTTTGTTTTTAGTTTTTATGAATTTTGTATAACAGTTTTTTTAATTTGAAAATGGCTTTTGCTATATAAGCTGAATTGTCACTATTAAATAATAAAAACAATATATAACCGAACATGATGTTTTCTATCAAATGAATATAAAATATATTATTAATAATGTCACTTGAACCTAAATGTTAAAAATTAAATATCTAGCGTAATATTTATAAATATCTAGCGTAAAAAAAATTATCAAACTAAAACTTCATTTATAGCCTCGGTTTCTAACAGGATCGATCACTTTCTATTAATTAATTACTATTATATCTAATATTGAAAAACATCAAAACGTTAGAATATCAAATATTTTTTTGTCAAATATAAGTTAATAAACTAAACATTTTCACTGATATCTTTGAATCAGTTAAGCATATATTAAAGTCTATTTATTAAAAAAGTTGAAGCTTAACATGCTTGATTGTGGACAAATAAGAGATTTGTAGAGAGAATGGAATCAGGAGTAAGAAAATGGCAAGCAGAATCAAGAGAAGCAACCTTAGTGAATACTAATATAGCAATCAATTCTATATATGGTGTCTGTGAAATGTCCTTTGTAAACGATAATCCAAGAAGATGTAAAGATTAGGACTTAGTGAATATGTCAGGGTTAGTCAGGGTTAGGGTTTGCTATTCATAGGGTTAGAGTTAGCTATTCGTAGGGCTAGGGTTTGCTATTCATTATTATAGGAATGTCGACAGTATTGCAATAGTTGATTGCATTAAATAACTTTTGTTGGAGTTAAAATTTACAAGCCACTGCGACCCTCAATCTGTTGCAAAAGTCATCGTTATATTAGTTATATCAGATTCAAGATCGACTGCCTGATCTAAGCAATAAAAAAAAAAGGCTTAGTTGAGACTATCAGCAAAAAGAGCTACTTTAGGTGTAAGTTGATTGGTAAGATCATAAATGAAGATAAGAAACAAAACCGGACCAATAATAGAACCTTGAGGCACTCTAGTAGTTACTGGAAATAAAGAATAGTTTTTGAGTATTACTTGAATAAAAAGGTAAGAGAAAAATGATTTTGATAATGTCAAAAAAAGTTTCAAGATACACCATATAAAGCAAGGTTATGGAGAAGACCAGAATGTTAAACTTTGTTGAAAGCTTTAGATATGTCAAGAACAATAGCTCCAGCCTCGCCGCCTTTATCTAATAAAATCTTTTAGTCAAAGCAGTTAGCAAATCAGCCGTAGAGCTAGAGGATTGAAAACCGTACTGATTGACTGACAGTAAGTTATTTGACATGGGAGAATTTTGTTGATCTTAAAGACCTTGCTAAGATAAAAGACTGATCAGATGATAGTTGGATCAGATCAGTTGGAAGGGTCAGAATGTTAACTAGAGTTTTTGAAAATTGGAACAACAGAATCCTTTTCCAGCGAGCTGGTAAACTAGACACAGTCTAGCACTTATTAAGTAAGAACAATTTTGTAAGATCGTGATAAGATCGTGATAAGATCGTTATAAGATCGTGATAAGATTGTTGTCTGGATCACTAGCTACGGAAGAGTTGAGATTTTAGAAATTTATAAATCGAAATTATAGTGCCAGAAGGGTCAGTTGTGTTAGAGCCAAGTTATTCAGTATGATAAGCATTAAAGTCACCAACAACAACAGTAGTTATATTTAAATAGCAGAGCATGGGGCAGGTAGTTCTGGGTTATATGATACCAGTAGCAGGATACCAGTAGCAGGATAGTACCAGTAGCAGATTGTGATGATCCTAAACCTGACATGACCTAGAGTAGATAAAAGGAGTTACTTTCCACAAACAGTACTTTAACACACCTGGCTTGACATTTTTGAAATTCATTAGGAATAAAATCTGTGACCAAGTGTTTGTCTAAAGTCTAATAAGACTTAAGTTTTGTCATCTGGTATTAGGCAGCCATTAAACTTTTGTTTTACAATTTTCTCACTCTCAATATTTTACTATTTTTCTACTTTTTTTCAGATTTTTTTAACTTTTTGCACAAAAGAATTAGATATATTGTATCTTTTTATCCTCCTCAAATGTAGAACCCTTCTCGGCTTTTTTGGAGTGAATTAAAAAAAATAAATAATATGCAGTTAATGAATGATGATTCCTTGTAGTGTTGAAAACATGAGAAACAGTTGACTGACTCACTATAGCTAGTTTAGAAATAGTTCTAGATGATGATCCAGTATTTTCTTTGCAAATGCGTAAAAAAAAATTCCTGGTTAATTTTTACTTGTAAGAAAAATCTTTCAGGAAAACACAATTTTTTTTTAGTTTTTTTTTTTAATTTTTTTTAATTTTTTTTAATTTTTTTTTTTTTTTTTTGATATAAATACAGTAGGAGTGCAAAACTTAAGTTTATGTTTAAAGTTTATTTTTTGAATTATTTTTTTGTTTAAACTCTCAAAATTGAGTCAATTTTTCTTTAGCTGTCTTACATTTGTTAATTTTAAATTAATTTTTTTTAAGGATTGTAAAGCTTTTTATCAATGGATTGGTCAATGGTTACACACAGTTTACCTTCGACTTCAAGACCAATGTGATTGTAGTGAAAAAACCTTTAATATTCTTCGTTCATTGTATATCTATCCAATGAGCGACAGATCACTGAAATCTTTAAATGGTCACGTGGTTTTTTTTCCTGTTTCTGACAACAACAAAATAATATTTAATAAAAAAAGTATACCAATATTTATTAAAGATAAAAAATTTAACCTTAATATGCTAGAGAATCATTTTTATAATTTACATTATTTTCAGGTGTTCAACCAATCCATCTTATTGAACAAGATCTTCTTATATTGTCACATGATTTTATGTCGTATTTGAGTGGCATTGAACAGCAACAACTCAAGAATTTTTTATGTGATTTAGGCGTAAAGGAAATCACACCTTTAGACATAGTACAAAATTGTATAATCCCTACCTTTAAATCTGGGAAATGGAAGGTATCTATTGTTTATTTTTAGCATTTTTTTTGGAATGGATAGTTAAATGTTTCACAGTATTAAAATAATAGAGTATATATATTCTTTCAAAGTTTATATGTATATTTATATTGTGTATATTTATATTCTGTTCTGACAACAATATCATTCTTATTTATTAAAGTAGTTTTTAAATAATTTTATGCTATGCTTTTTTGCAAAACCTTTAGCTTTAGTTCTCGTGGCTTTTTCCAAAACCTTTGCTTCTTAAGTTTTAGAGTTTTTGCGCTTGTATGCTAGTTTTTTTACCTGCAGCTCATGTCATCTCAAAGATACTTTTTTCATATTTTTCTCCTAGAGTTGCAATTTCTATCCACAACCAATTATCTGCATCTTTACCCTCTAATTACCCAAACATCATCCAAAAACTAAACATATCGATCTTTATTGCCAACATTTCACTGCTACACATTTCATTGCCACATGTTTCACCATACATTATAACGATTTGAAGGCATGAACTAACACTCTATATTGAAGACATTGTCTTATTAGGATTAGGGTTAGGATTAGGGTATGCATTAGGGTTAGGGTTAGGATCAGGGTACGCATATAGTGTACCAACACTCTATTATTCCACTTATATTTATTTAAATTTTCTTTTACATTTCTTTTTTTGCATTAAAAATGTCATTTTTACTACATTTTTTACAGTTGAATTTATTTTTAATAAATTGCTAAAAGCAATCAAGTTTTATCATTTTTTTAGTTTATATAAAGTAAACAAATCTGGTTTATCAATATTTCAGTTTATATAAATGAATCTGGTATATAATAAGTTTAATTAAGTACGATAAAAAAGTTTTTTTCTTTCTAAACAATTGTTAAATTTGTTTTTGTTTAATATTAAATAAATAAATTTTTTTTTTTCTTTCTTCTCTTTTATTTTTTTATTTTTTTTTTTTATTTTTTTTTTATTTTTATTTTTTTAAAAAGTATGTTAGTTTAAGGGCTTGAAAACTTTCAGTTGCAGTTGACACATTCAGTTGCAGTTTGACACATTCAGTTGCAGTTGACACATACCTAGATCTATAAATCTGTCCTTCTTAATACTTCTGTTATTTTTTTAAATTTATTTTGGATGCTATTAAAATTTTTAAGTTACACCTAACTAAAAATACACATTGTTAGTTAAAGAAAAATTAATTAACTAATTAAAAAAAAAAGGGTTTAAAAATATTATTATAAATAAGTTATGTTTATTATTGAGGTTGTATTTATCAATCATGTTGTGTTTATCATTGAGGTTGTGCTTATTATTGAGGTTGTGTTTATAATTGAGGTTGTGTTTATTGAAGTTATATTTATCTTAAGTTGCAAATATCTTTAGAGAGTAATTCCTTATCAAATCTGCAGGTTCATGTCACCCGATTTTCCTTATTTTTTTATGTTATAGGGTTTATAAACATTGAAATCTGAAATTTTGAATCTTCAACTCTTTATGGTTATTGAGATATTCAGGATTTAATTTCCTTATTTATGCATTTTTTGCTGTTACATAGCATTATTTTATGAACTAAATGAGGTATAATCTTGAAATTTTGTACCTAAAAATCTATTGTTACAGTTTAATATTTTACTTTTTTTCTACTTTTTATTTTTTTATTATTTTTTATTTATTTATTTTTTTGCTAAAAATATAAAGACTACAGAACTTTATTGAGTAGCCATATCATTCAAAGCAACATAAAACTATTATTCGAAATCAGTAGCAATAGTATAATAATGAAGTAATAAATGGCTTTATTTATAAAATACAAAAAAACGTCTTTTATAAATATAGGTTTTAACAAGAAATGTTTTTTATAAATGCATTTATATTACAGCCTAGTTAAATTTTAATATCTAAAAGAAAGTTGGTCTTTTACAAAAAAATTTCAATAAATTTATTATTTCTAATTATTGCTCCATAAAGCCTCCAAAAAGCTTCAAAGAAAAATTTGTTACAAAACAAAGTTTGGAATAATATTTAATTTGGAAAATATTAATAATTTTTTTTTCTTTTTTGTAGGGGGATGGGGTAACGCCTAATTGCCTCCCCTTCCTCCCCCCCTCCCCTCCCTCAAAAAAAAAAAAAAAAAAAATTCAGAACGGCACCTAATTTTGTTCATATAATATTGCTATTCTGCAAAAAAATGTTGATGCAGTTTAAATAAGAAAATTGATTCCTGAATATCTTAAGAATCATAAGGAGTTAGAGGTTCCAAATTTCCTATTTTTCTAATATTCATAAACCCTGTAACAAAAAGATACTAGCAAAATTCAAAACATTGGGGGGGGGGTGACTTTTTTTTTTTTTTTCTGATTTTACATGGAATTATCCTAAAGTGCATCTAATATGAAAGTTATGTTGTTGTTTTTTCTTTCTTATTTATATTATTTTTGGATTCTTATTGTTCAAAATCTCATTATTTACATTTTTGTAGCCGTTTATTTTAAGTTAGGAAAGTTAAAAAAATTTTTGCATAATAAAACATGCGTTTTATTTAATAATTTAAAAATGCTGTCAGTAAACTAAATTGTCCGGGAAAGTATATGATAAATAGCAACAACAAAAAAATCAAAAAAAAAACTAGTAAATTATACTATAACTGTGTTTAACATAAAAGAGGAAAGTTATATTAACATAAGTTGTTATAGTTTTCTTTTATTTTATGTACAAATGCAAAAGTTTAATTTATCTTTACAAAATTTGCAAATACAAAAACTAATTATTTTTTTAATTTACAAATACAAAACATACTGAATATTTAAATTTGCTGTTAAAATTTATTTGCTGCTCTTGTGCCATTATTAAATCTTTTAATGTTGTTGTTGCTTATTTAAATTAATTCTAAAATAGCATATTGCAACAAAAGTTATTTCAACTAACATTCTAGTAGACTAAAATTGGGGTGTCTAACAAGTTTCTCATCTAAAAGCTATCGAGCTATTGCTTGGATTTTTTTTTTGTTAATTCACATCTCTAAGGTCAGGAAAGGCACTAACGTTGTGGAGGCTACTTTAATTGTGGTTACAACCCTCTCTCAAATGTATTATTCTGAAATAGGAATCTTGAAAAACAAGGTCACTGCGCAGAGAAACAAGTTGAGCACCAGGGGTGTGGTGGGGATTAAATTTGAAACCGCTCTTTATCAAACACTTAAAAAGATACTAATAACACTATTATGTTCAGCATTAGTATAAACAGATTAAAATAAAAGTAAAAAAGTAAAAAAATATTGTTAATCATAAAATCTGGTTTTAATTTTGAAGCTTTGTTTATCATTAATGTGTTAAAGAAAAGTTTTGCTCAATTGATTTTGTAAATAAAGATCTTTGAAGAAAGGTTTATATTATTAGCACAATTAAAATTATTTCTTTTTAAAATAAAATAGTTGGTGTATATAATGTGTAAAAGCTAGTTATTTTTGAGTAGAAGGCCCCTCCTTCTCCTCCTCTCAGTGCCCCTGCATATATACATACATAACATTAATGTTACATTGTCATGGTGATACCATTAATAATACGTAACATCAATTATAATATTTCATCAAAGATTGTCAATATTCCAGATTTTTATTCTTAGTAGCTTTAACTTTTCTTGTCTTGAATATTGATTTTATTGTCTCTAGTCGTTTTGAGATATTTTCTTCTTTCAAAGTTTGATTTTAAAAGATTTCACTCAATTTTAAAATTTGTTTTTAGTTTTAATTGTTACTTTTTTACAAGAATAATTTTATTTCAGGAAAAATCAGAAAATCTGGTTGTTGCATATGTTAATTATCTTCATGAACAGTACATGTTAGATTCTCAAATTTTTGACATCTTGGAAATTCGACAATGTTTAATGCTACTTACAAATAAAGGATTTCAATCTCCATTTGATTCTACTAATCCAATTTATTTTGGGCGTGAATATAACAATGATATTGATCTACAAGATAGCTTTCCTTGTAAGCAGGCATATTGTATTATTTATAAATTAGTAATAATGTTGATTAATAAAAAAAATATTTAAAACATTAAATTGTTAAAATAAGATGAAATGCAAAATGACATGTAATGCAAGTTTTAAGCTACATTATCTACACAAAATTTTTTATATATTTATTTTCAAATATTTATTGAGTGTTCTGATGTTTTATTTACTATTTATTTTAAAAGAGGTGATAATGATGATGATGATGATGATGATGATGATGATGATGATGATGATGATGATGATGATGATGATGATGATGATGATAGTGATGATGATGATGATGATGATGATGATGATGATGATGATGATGATGATGATGATGATGATGATGATGATGATGATGATGATGATGATGATGATGATGATGATGATGATGTTGATGATCATGATGATGTAATTAAATTCTTGTTTAGTATAAAAAATTAGTAACTAGAATAATTGAAGAAAATTTAAATTTAAATGTAATATATATACCATTATATCATAGCTACAGTTTATTCTGAATTATTACAGTGATTATTACTTTAACTAATTAATATTTTTTCTTACTATTTCTAACAGTATTTTACTGTCAGGTTATTTTTATTTACTGTTAATTTTTTATAGCTGCTGACTGGACTTTAATTAGCAGTTGCTATCTTAGTTGTTTATCTGACATCGAAAAAGTTTCTCTAAAGCGCTTCTTAAGTTCATTGTCAGTACATACATTTATGGTAGTTAGAAAGATAACTAAAACTCTTCATGTTTCTGATTTGGTTAGTTATTTTTTGGTTTATTGATGTTAACCATTGTTATGCAAAAAAGTTTTTCTTTTAGAAGTTTTTTGATTAGTTTTGCAACCTTTGTAAAAAGAAGATTTATCTGTGCATAAAACACTTAAAAAGAAAAAAATTCAAAAGTATTCTACATACCTTGAAAATCAATAAACAGTGTGGGGAGGGTGCGAAAAGCAGATATCAGGGTCCATAACTCTAACCCTAACCCTGATAGATTAGGCATCCTGAAGTAATGATTTAGTTTTGCCTGCACACTTGAGGTAAGAATACTGCGCACTTGAGGTAAGAACACTGCACACTTGAGGTAAGAAAAACTTTTCTCAAAAAAAAAAAAATGTTGCAAAAACACCCTACATTTTTTGAAAATATTTTACAATGTCTTAATTTGTTCCAAGAGGGTCAAAAACAACTTTTTAAAAAATTATTGAACATTTCCCTCTCGCATCCTTCACCTCTTTTATTGTTTATTACATATCTACAAATCCAAGCTAACAAATGCTATGGCAATCTTCATGATTATTGCATGTGCGGGTCGGACACATCCGGATTTACATTAATGCCTTTTTTTATTTTATTATTTAGATTGCTAGTTGTTGGGAAAAATATTTTGAAACTTGGCCACAGACGATTGATGATACTTACATAATTGACGATCTCGAATGTCCTGAATTTAATCAAGTAGTTGATGGTAAAAATTATCGAGAGATATATGATATGCTGGAAGAATTCGATGAACGTTGGAGTAGCGAATTTTCTAAGTTTAATTTTATAAGACCTGGATGTCTTGTAAAAAATACTTCAGGAGAGGTGGTATCATCTACATTCTGCTCATTTCTTCTCAAGGTATCTACATTTTGCTTTTTTTACTTTTTTCAGATATCCTCTACATTTTGCTAATTTCTACTTAAGGTATCAGTTTCATTATCGTTTTTTATAGCTTTCGGTTATACTACATATATTCTCAGTTTCTATATTTGTATTTATGATGTTTGTTTTTATGAATTTTTTCGTTTATGTTTATTTCATCGGGTGTATACGCTGCATTTTGCTACATTTTTGTCTCAATTTACTCTTAGTTAATCGATCCTGTTAACTTAATTTTAAAATGTTTTGCACCTAAGCATTATCTCCTCCACTCCCCTTTGTTCTTTATTTGCCGCTCCTTTTTTTATTCATAAATATGTTGTAATTCTACTTTTTTTTTTTTTTTCTTAAGCTTTCTCTTAATGTGATGTTTTCTAAAGCTTTCTCTTAATGTGATGTTTAGATTTAACTTTGTACTTCTAAAGCTTACTGACTCTATATTATTTTCTCAGAAAATTATTAAATCAAAGAACAAATATACTACTAACCATTCATTTATTAATATTTGAAATAATATATTATCTTTTTATTTGAAATTAAACATTTTTAATAATTATCTTTTTAATCAATTCGGGCATCTTTTTGATATAAATGTCATTTTAAATTTTTCTGATAATATTGAACATTAAAATTAATTTTTTTTTCTTTAAATTTAGATGCGATCTTCTGCTTGGCTCGCTAACAATGAAGATGAAAACTCCTTGCATTGTCCTCGAGACCTATTTTTAAGGAATGATCGTTTATTTTCTTTATTGGGGAATAAGGTTAATTATTTAACTAACCGAGTAAAGTCAAAAAACTTTATTCTTACTCTAGGAGTGCAAACTGAAGTGAATTTCAAACGGTTCGCTAACGAGTTTATGAAATGGCGTGAACAGACTGTTTTTACCACCAATTATGCCCACACACAAACAATTTATCAATATTTTGAAAAACAGAATGCTGTCTATAATGAGATAATTAATGAACTTAAAAAAGGTCCGTTTATATTTTTGCCTAGTAATCATTGTAATCAGATATTTGTTGAATCTTCTGTGGTAGAAGGCAAGTTTTATTCCATTACCAAATTATGTTGGGAGGATCCCTCGGACATACTAAATTGTACTAAAGATGACGCTGATCACAGGCGCATTCTTAAAGGATACTACCCAGAGCATATGCAAAATTATTTTTTGTATACATTAAGAGTAAGTAGATATCCAAGTGTTTGCGAATACGTAAAACTTGCGAGTACAATTGCATCTCAAACCATTCTTCCAGATCGAGACGGATGTGCCAAACTATTTACAATATTTTCAGTTCTTGGACAATTGATGATTTCTGATAACAAACTAGAAGAACTAAAAGACTTGAATTTTCCAGAATCGATGGAAGAACGTAGAAAGCAATATGAAGATCTTACTGCTTTTATTGATCCAATATTATCTATGCATATGCAGCAAACAGATTTGTTTGGAGAAAAAATTTTCCCGACGTCTAAAAATAGTTTTTCTTGTTTATCAGATATGCCGCTACTTGTTGATAATAAAGACTTTGCTCATATCTTTCAAGAATGTGAAAAGGTTCCATTAATATTTTTTGATTTCATATTAAACATGATAAAACCAAATAATTCGTTTCGCTCCAAGCGTGCATTTGAAGCTTTTGACTTTAAAATGATTAAAATCATGGTTTTTTTTAAAGCTTGCGGTGTTTCACTTCTTTCTAAGGTTTACATCGAACCTGAAGTTATCACTGAAAATATGAAAAGAGGTTGCGCAACGTGGGAAAGGATTATTCATGAAATTTCTCCAATTGTTCAGCGGTTTTTAAATGTTAAATATCCGGTTTTTTATAACAATCTAACCGCAAAATCATACCACGATTATCTTCAGAATTCTACACTTTTTTCTGTCGATACTCTTGAAACCGTTTATCGGTTATTTGACAGAAGTGATGTTATTGTATCACGAAAAAAAGTTGCCTGTGTTTCTGATGCAGCTGGAAAGCGTGCTCTTATTTACATAACATCTCAGTATGCTTCTGAAAAAAATATGTTTGAGCAAATTCTTAATGAAGTTTTAAATTTATATGTCAGTCAAAATGAAGAAATAAAAGAAGAATTGTTCGATTTTATTCAAATGTATAACGCAGTATCAAACAAAACAGATTACTTAAAAAGAAAAAACATTGCAGAGCTTTCTTCCTCTGATATTAGATGGACATATCCACTAAGTATTATATATAGTGAAAACCCAATAGTCAGTAAACCCGTTCAAAATATACCACCCATGCAATCGTCTGCCGTAGAAAGTAGCGGGTTAAAATGTTGGCCTCCTCGAAATCCAGTTACTACTGGTTCTATTTTAAATACAGAATTTTCAAAATATACTGAAAATGAAGTTAACGAGAAATGGAAACCACCTGAATCACCAGTTGCAAAAGAAAGTTCGTTTACTAAAGATTTAGATATTTCAACAAACGATAATCAAGAATTAAACAGAAAGCGAAAACTTTCTTCGTCTGAACTTGTTGACATTAATGACGAACCGCAATTGTCCAAAAAAATATGTGCGGGATTACCCCATCATTCATCTCAGCATGATTTGTCCGTTCCTATTGTTAAAGATGGATTAGTCATTGATAATGAAAGTCTAGCCAATCGTTGGAAGATGGCTAAAGTAGATTATGTTCCATCAGCTGCTTGTCAAAATGTGAAATTCACCAATCAAATCGATTTTGCTCATTTTGAAAAACTGATTTTGGAAGAGCAATACGATGATCTGCCAATTATTTTATCTGACAGTTATGAAAAAGACTTTAAGGACCTAAGTCTTGATCAAAACGAAACAGAAAGTAAACAAATGGTAGGAAAATTAGGTGAAAATCTTGTTTATCGGCATCTGTGTGAAATTTATAAAGACGACATTTTGAGCGGCAGAGCTAAAATTACTTGGCTTAATGAAGTAGAAGAAACCGGCCAGCCGTACGATCTTAAAATTGATTTTACTAGTTTAGAGCAAAAGTGTATTTTTATTGAGGTGAAAACAAGTTATTTAGATGGGAAAAAAGAGTTTGAAATTTCACCCAACCAACTTCGATTTGCTTTTGAAAAACAATCAGCTTTCCATTTGTATCGCGTGACCGGAATCAACGCAAATTTACGAATAAGACGTTTAGTTAATTTATCAATGTACATGGATAGTAAGTCAGTAAGACTATTTATGTTAATTTAAAACATTGTTTTTTAAATATCTTTTTACATTCATGGGGCGTTATATTTTGTTTTGAATGCTGACCCTAAATTTAACTCTCAGTCTTGGGTTTTCCTAGGATTTTAAATGAATATCCTGACTTCAACGCTGAAATTTCTTTTTATAATGATTTTAATGACACTCTTTTTTTTAAAAGTTTTGAAATATTTTTCTAATATTACGCAATTTGTTCCGTAGAAGGAGCAGGCCTCTATTGAAAAGCTAAAATTTGATATTTATTTTAACCTCTCTTTTTTTTGATTTTCACAAATGGTCTACCTAAATATTTCACATTATTTGAATCATTATTTGCAGATGACACAACACTTATGACTTGTCATAAGTGTTATCTGTTACCAATATAAACCATCTGATAACAAAAACTTAATAATTTTATTAAACTAAAGCAATGATATTAACAGATAAACATAAGATAAACAAATAAACATCTAAAATAATATTGAATAGTATCAGTATCTATGAACAGTAAATTACATTTTACCGAACACAAGAGATGAATTCAAAAGCATACAAAAAATTATTCTCCATTACCTTATATATTTGGCAGGCACGCCGGAAAGGGGTAGCCTAGGTTAACAACTGCTACTCCTGCCCTTTTGGCTGGGGTGGCAAGGGTAGCATGAATGTGCCCTTTTTAGGAAATAGGTATGGTGCTTTAAAAGCATTTAAATTATCCAATATTTCATTATCAATATTTTATAATTAATATCTACCAACTAAAACTGGTAATAGGTTGGATAGGTGGTAATTGATTAAATTTTTTTTCAAATTTTTTATAGATAAAACTGTTTAAAATTGATTTAAACGAAACTTTAAAAAGAATTATATTGAAGAGAAAAAAAAGGCCCAGAATCAATAAGCAGCAATGGCGCAACAGTGGCGAAAGCAATGGCGCCTGAAACAACTCAGATAAATAAACTGACGTTAAAGAATTTTTTGTAAATCAATCAATCATTTATTTCTGGATTAAGATTTTACATTCAAGGATATTAACAAATAGTAAATTTACTAATATAAAGTAAACACCTACTAATGTTAACAATATCTAATTAATTATACTATTGACATCTAGAAAGCAGCTAAGAAACAGTTGATTTATTTAGTAGACTGTTTAATAGCATGTTATAACCTTTAGTAATAATTGTACACGCGATTTGTAATAGTAAAAGTAGTAGACTAAGTGATTTTTTTTGTGAATTATTTGGAGAATGGTAGGTTTAATTAAAAGGTTTATTTATATTATATATTCTATATAGTAAAATATTGTGTTGATATTTTGGCAAGTGTGTTTTGGTTTGCCACTTCTGCCCTTAGGCCCTTCCGGCGTGCCTGATATTTGGTCTTCAAAGTTCGTTTACTATTCTTCAAAATATTCATAAATTTGATTAGTGTTCAATTCTTATAATTTTCTACACGAAAAAAAGAAATACAAAGCCTTAGTAATGTAAACTATATGATTTTATTTTTACTACTCAAAATTAATATTTAAAACAAAAATATATTCCAAATCAATTAACAGCTTAAGAGTCATTTTTTGTAAGAATCAGGCAGTCAATGGAAGTGACCTCGTCCAAATTGCTTGAATTTTTTATATACTGATCAGAATATAGAGAAAATCTGTTGGGAAAAAAAAAAATTTCAAAAATGTTTCGTTCACTCGGAATCTGGGCTTAAATTTTTGAGATTTTTTTAAAAATTTTTAGAAATTTAGTTTTTGCCACCTTTGAACCCATTTTTTTGGCAAGGCAAAAAGTTGCACATAGCTTTTGTAGTTAATATCAGACGTAACCCAAAAGCTCTCTCCAAAAAATATAAAAAAGTTGCGTGACACTGTGCGGTTGGCTAATTATCATAGTTCAAAAGTACAAAATCAATCAGTTTTGTCAATTTTTAATCGGAGTTAATTCTAGCGGCGAAGTGTTGCACACAGTTTTTCTTTTAGGATTTGAAATTATCAAAGTTATGGAGTCTAATAATGCCAAGAAAGTTATGTGATACCTAAGGCCTATTAATATATTAAGGCTTGAAATTGGAAAAAAATGTTATAGTATACTTACAAAATGAGCTATTACGGCAGAGGCGCTAAGTTTTGTAAAAATATAATCATGTTAAATGGTCAATATAAGATGACCCTAACATAGTTTAAAAAAAAACTCATGTGATCTTTAGATATTAAGTTAAAAATAAAGGTACAAATTGTTAAAAATGATTAAGTACGAAGAGATATTTTTTTGGACACACAGGTGAGGTTTTCGCTCACAATAAAATTTCTATCATCCAAAATTAGCAATTAACATTAAACAAAACATTGCACGTAATGTTAAGAAAAAATTTAAGCGTTTCTGACTATGATATAGAAATCATAACAATTGAAATAAATAATAATAAAAAACAATACATGATCAGAAGTGAATTATTTAAATTTACGTCATAACCAAATAACTTGTGGTGATCGAATGGAAGAAGAATCGCTGATATCACGATTGTGGAGAAACAAGTTAGTGGGCGGTTGTTTACTTTACCATAAAAATGTCTTAACTTTATTTTAACGATCTTTAAAATTTGCATAAATAGAGTAAATATTTTATCATTGCTATTGGGCAATAGGTACTGCATAAATAGAACTTGTTTTTAGTTGAGTATGGAAAAAAACAAATATTTTTATGAAAACTGTTGTTGCTTTTCAAAAGGAAATTGTGGATCATTCAAAAAACATAAAATTATAAACAAAATGTTCTACATTCATCAGCTGGGAGATGTTGATGTTAAGAAACACCTCATCAACTTAAAGGTAAGTATGTATTTTAAATTTACGCAGACTGTAATATAATTTTTATAATTACATACTTTATAACTTCTCTGCAATAAGATTTTGAGACAAAGTTCTTTAAACAAAAAATTATAGCTCTTTTAATTAATTCCTCACTCTTTTAATAAATAATCACTAAATTAATCACACTCTTGCAATATTGTATTTTAATAATAACAACAATGTATTTCAAACTTGTAAACATTTTTCGTGAAGAGTCAGATTATAAACAATGCTTTAAATGACACACTTAATATTTGTTTAAAAAATTGTTTTTAGGTCATGCGATTAAACGATAATAATATTTGGGAAGAAAATGGACTTATTGCAAATAGACTTAAAAGAAATCTTGAAAAGGATGAACAAATATGTGCTTTTCACCGGTACACGTTTGGTATTGCATGGAGTCCTCCAAAAACATGCTTTCATCCTCACCATCTAAATATAAAAGGAAAAAAATCTCCCGCTTTAAGGGCGTCACCAATACATGTCGTCATATCAATGTCAAAGCGATACAATGAAGTATTTTCAGTTGGTGCAATGCTGTGTTTTACCCATTTGAAGCAAGAAACTGCTTTATCTAGAGTCAACAAAAACCCCAATTTATGTACAGAAACACAAACACAACAAGAACAAACATATATGACACCTGCTACTCCAGATGAAGAATTTGATCCCGGTGAAATTAATGTTTCACAGGAGATTTTAGACGAATCTCTAAGAAGCCGTGAGAGTGTAACTAAGGTTCTTAATGCAAGTCCAATAAAATTTAGATTAAAAAGGAAGTTCGAATATCTGGAAGATACTACTAAAGATAAGTTAAAACGCAAGTATGTTCGCCTAGAAAACTTATTAAAGAAAAAATTTGCGGAAGCTGTTGCTCCTGGACAAGAGGAAATACTTATAGATTTTCTTAACAGTAAAAATGTTGATGAAATAAATAGCCCTCTCCCAATTGAAATTATTCGTGCTCAGAAAGTATATAAGCAAAGTGATTCCATGGGAAAGTTAGTTATCCTCTCATTATTAGACCATACCAAGTATACCAAAAAGTTTATAATGAACACATTTGAGTGTACCAAACATCGTATAGAAACAGCAAGAAAATGGCATGCATCTCATAAAGGGTTGGCATTTCCAGAGAAGAAAGTATTCGTTCGATCTAGTCTTGATCAAACAAAGTGTGAACATTTTTTAGACTTTATATTTACAAGCGGTATTTTGCATGATGTTGCTTATGGAATAACCAAATTAAAATACGACAGCGGTGAAGAACAAAAGATAGTGCATGCAATACTGACGACAAAATATAGCCACGCTATCATGTTCTATCGAAAAAGTTGTAGTGAAAACAATTATATACCATTATCTGATTCAAGTTTGTGGAAAGAATTGCATGTAATAAAACCTTCAAGTCGAAAAAGCTTAGCTGGATTAGATGATGTTACTGCTTCAGGCATGAATGGCATGAAAATTGACAAAACTGATTGATTTTGTACTTTTGAACTATGATAATTAGCCAACCGCACAGTGTCACGCAACTTTTTTATATTTTTTGGAGAGAGCTTTTGGGCTACGTCTTATATTAACTACAAAAGCTATGTGCAACTTTTTGCCTTGCCAAAAAAATGGGTTCAAAGGTGGCAAAAACTAAATTTCTAAAAATTTTGAAAAAAATCTCAAAAATTTAAGCCCAGATTCCGAGTGAACGAAACATTTTTGAATTTTTTTTTTTCCTTAACAGGTAATATATATATATATATATATATATATATATATATATATATATATATATATATATATATATATATATATATATATATATATATATATATATATATTTCGTCGCTATGAGTAATTACAATACCAAAGAACATGAATAAAAATAAAATATGACAGGGGCAAAAAGAAGACTGTAGTTGTCTTATCACTAAGTCTTGATAACATTAAGTACAACACTCAAAATAATAACTTTTTAAACATCACAGTGTCTAACAAACACGATAAACGCTGATGTTTAGACATGCCCAGTTGGCTAAAACGTCTTAGCAACAATGTCTCTAGATTTTCTTCAACAATACCACTTACACGAATAATGTTCACCTGGTTCTGCACTTTCCTCGGTCATTCTATTTGTAGCAATTCTGAGACTGAACCTTGTTGTCGGAACCGTACTATTAAACGATTATTTGCGTTTTGGCTAGAAGTATGCAATAATTTTTATATGCTTGTTGCGTCAGTAAAATTAAATATTATCAGCTAAAGTAAATTTGGTTCGATTAGTCCGTTGCTCTTTCGTCTAATTTTGCATGTTAGTGCGACAAAGTTCAATGAATAAAGTCTGAAAATAACAATAATTAAAAGAAAAAACTTTTTTTTTGGTCCATTCTATTATTTGTCTTTATATATCAATTTTTTTTAATTAAAAATTATATATATACTCGAGGTCATAAACTTAAGTTACGCAAATGTTGTTCGCAAGCATTCTCTATCAGAGTTGTTAATATTTGAAATAATTTGCTGTAATATAAATGCTTAAAAAAATAAAATGCTTTAAAACAAAAATTACTTTAATGATACTTGTAAATTTTTGAATTATATAAAATATATAATTACAAAAAATAGAAAACAGAAAAAGTTATTCATTATTGGAGATAAAAATATAAATATTTTAATGTACAACGAGCATGCGATTACTAAAAATTTCTTTGACGACATGTTTTAACCTAATATCTTCCCAATTACCAACAAACCTAACCTTTCCAATATAGTTCTCTTTGTCACAAAGTTCCACAAAAATTAATAATTTAAAAATCTTATGTTGTATTATTGACGAAACGTCTACTCAAAAATTTAAGGACTTGCTATTGTCAACAAATTGACAAAAAGTCTACCAAGAATGTAACCTAGGTAACACTAACTCTGCGTACAATAACTTTATAAATTTATTTATCCTACAATGTAACAACAACGGGAAAAAATAAGAAAAGTACAATATTACCGAATGCAATGAAAATTAAAAACAAATTATTTAATGACCATAATAAAATTGCGTTTGAATTTAATAAATTTTTTTCTTCAATTGTAACAAGCTTATCAAATATATTTCCTTATCTTAATGATAAATCAATTAATGAATTTATAACATCACCTAATTTAACTTTAAATTTTTCAAACCTAACAAACGTAGCAAACTTAACATACAGCGAATTTGAAGCAACGTTTAAATCATTAAAATGGACTACGGCGATTGGAGATTGCATCAATGGAAATGTTATAATAGACTTTTTTGACGTTTTGAAAGATATACTTTTTAAAATTTGTAAAACCTCTATTGCTCAAGGATCCTTTCCAGACTCTTTAAAAGTAGAAAAACTTACTCCTATTTATCAGGTGACGTAACATTACAAATGATCGTCCTATTTCAGTTCTTCCAGTTTTCTCCAAAAAACTAGAAAGAATAATGTATAACAGAGTCTACAATTATTTTTGTTGATACTAAACTTTTATATAACAATCAATTCGGCTTCTAGAGAAACTGTTCTACTGAACACACCATACCACCATACACCATACACCATACCCCAACACGCAGCATTTCTGATTCTTTTAAAAATTCTTATTATACCCTTGGGGGTATTCATCAATTTGTCTAAGCTTTTGATTACGACATTCTATTAAAAAAATTAGAACTCTATGGAATTAAAGATAAATCCCTAAGCTGGTTTAAAAGCTATCTTAGTAATGTAAGCAGTTCGTTAATATCCAAGACTCTTCGTTGCCTTTATTAATGAATGTAACATGTTGTGTCCCACAGGGATCCATAGTTGGGCCCTTATCATTTTTAGTATATATAAATAACCTCAACAAACCCTCTAACTTAACCACTATAATTTTTGCTGATAACACTAATCTATTCCAATCTCATGAAAACATAAGTATACTTTTTGATAATATGACACAAGAAATAAATAAAGTCTTATATTTGATTAAGAAAAACAAATTGTCCCCCAATATTGATAAAGCAAAATGGACACGTTTTTACAAAATATCCAGAAAAAATGTTTACCAAATACACTGCCCGACCTCTTCATTAATAATACAATACTAAAAAGGAAAAAAGTTACAAAGCTTTCCAGAATTCTTGTAGACAAAAACTTATCCTGGAAAAAACAAAACGATAATATCTTCTTGAAAGTTGCTAAAAGTATTGGAATTAAATATAAAGTTCGACATGTTTTGAATAAACAACAATTATAACAACTATATTATTCGTTTATCCACAACTATTTAAATTATGCAAACATTAAATGGGAAAGCGCGCACAAAACTAAACTTAAATCTCTTTATCAACATCAGAAACACGAAGCTCGCTTAATCAATTTTGTAAATCGTTTTTCAAATTCAAAACCACTTTTGAAAGAAATGAAAGCCTTAAATCTATATGAACTAAATGTTTATAATATTTTATGTCTCATGTTTAAATGTTTAAAAATCATTTATCTCGTGATGTATTTATAAACCTTTATAATGTAAAATCTATAAACAAATACAATCTTCGCAATGGAAAAAATCTACAAGAAACATTCTGCCAAACTAAATTTGAACAACTAATTATTTCTTATCGCGGTCCTTATTTATGGAATAAAATAGTTTTGCCAAATTTTGATTTGTCATTGAAAGGGACTTTAACTTCTTTCAAACGAAAATTAAAAGAAGTTATCTTTTCAGCAGAAAGTATTTCTTCTTGTTTTCAGTTCTTTTGTTTCATATACTTCATATAATTTATCCAATATATTTATATTTTAAATGCACAGTTATATATAGTTTATGTTGATTTATATTTATTGGTTAATTTAATTTTATTGTTTGCTTCATGATAAGATCGTATGATCTTCTGGAAGTCCTGCCGATTATATTTGTAATAAAGCTATTCTGTAATTGTAATTTCTTTTATTGAAGGCAAATAAATTTACAAAAAAAAAAAAAAAAAAAAAGTTTTACAATTCAAAAAAAGAAGTAAAAGCAAAATATTTTAATTGTGGATAACAAAAAAAAAAAAAGAAAATCCTCAAAACAAAAACAAAAACTATACGTTATATATTAAAATATAGAAAGCAAAGCGAACTTATCCCTCTACATTCAATACAAAAACTTATTTGAAAAAAAAAAAAAAAAAAAAAACAACATAAAATTTCATATTATTCTTATCAAATACAAAGATTTAATGGAGACTTAAAAAAGACATTATGAAAGAAATAATTGGTAAAAGTAAATCTAATTTTAACAAAATGCCTTCTAGAGTAATAATTAATGAAAGTGAATCAAACAACAAGCGAGATATTTCCAATGAGTTTAACAACTACTTTGCCAACATTGGTGCTGATCTTGCATCAAAAATTCAATACCCAAGTAATACATTTACAAGTTACTTAACAGGCTCCCACTACTTTTTAAATTTTAATGAAATAAATCAAGACGAACTTGAAATAGCTATAAAATCACTTTATAGCTATTTCAATTAAGTCCCCAGGGATCGATGACATCTCTTGCAAAGTAGTGTCAGATGTTTTTGAGGAGATACGTAATCCAATTTACCAAGTATTTAATTCATCATTTATATCAGGTATTGTAGCCTACCAACAATTAATATAGAAAATACAACCATCAAAAGAGCTCTAAATAAAAAGTTTTTAGAAGTTCTAATTGATGAACACATCTCCTGGAAACCCCACATAAACTACATAAACACAAAAATATTAAAGAACATAGGTTTATTTTACAAGGCAAGATTATTTTTGTCACAAAAAAGTCTAAAACTTGTCTACTTTTTATTCATACAGAGCTATCTCATGCATGTCAATATAGCATAGGCCGTACCCATAAATCTAAACTAGAACCACTTTACTTACGTCAAAAACACGCTTCCAGACTAGTATACAATAAAAACAAATTAACTCATGCCTAACCCTTACTCGAACAAATGAACGAACTAAATATATTTCAAATAAATTTTTTTTTAAATATACTTTTCATGTTTAAATGTAAACTAAGTCTTGTTCCAGAACATTTTACAACACGCTTTTTTAAAAACAATATAAATAAATACAACACAAAAGCAACATGCAACTTTAAGATACCGTTTGAAACAACAAGACTCTCAAAATTCTCAATTATATATAGTTTCCAGAACCGAATCACTGTTAAACTTAAACAATGAACACTCTTTGAAAATAAAGCTTAATTCTACAAAAACCAAATTAAACAACTGTAAAGAATTTTTTTAAAGTTAAATTAAAAAAATTAATAAATGTAACTTAGCTTTTGATACAAATCGATAAAAAAAAAAAAAAAATTAGAATATTAAGGTATATATGTAACACATACATAGAAATATAAAAATATAGAGATTTCTCGAACTATTTTTACTTTCAAGTTATTATATTGTTGTAATTAGTATTTATTTTATTAATGTCTCGGAATTGTTTGCA